GGGGGGGGGGGGGGGTGTCTCTTCAGGGTGCTCCCAGCTCCCATGGGCCAGCAGGACCTGGCGTCCCCAGTCCCCCACGCTGGGAGCAGCCGCCACACTACCGACCCAGCAATATAAAGGAGGAGGAGGTGTAGGGGAGGGCTGGGAAATTAAGGTTTTCAGCGCTGTCAGAGCTGCATCAAACAGGCATCCACCAGCTGATTGCTTGATTGTTATATTTTGGATGTCAAACCGGAGCAAGCAGAAACCTTTAAAATGCATCAGTGCCGCTGCCTTTTTGACGGAGGGTGTTGGTTTCCCATTAACAAGTGGAAAGCGTGAGCTGGAGCAGAAAACTTCAAGCGCTTTGGAATTGATAAAATAACAACTCCCTAATTAAGCAGAACTGTCAGTCAACGGGCGCCTGCTGCCCTGCATCGGGAAGCAGCAGCAGCAGCTCCCAGTGCAGGAGCTCAACGTGCCAGCCCAGTCTGCTGCAGCACAGGACACACACACTCTGGGGGGGGCAGTGGCCAGAGCATCACCCCACTCCCCATTAGACAGGGCTGGGTCCTGATCCCGATGCTGAGCACAGCCGAGGTGTTTAGAGACTGTGCCTCAGTTTACCTCACCATAAAACCAAGTAATGCAACACGCAGCTTGGCAGGGAAGGAGAGGCCTGACCCCAAAACGCACCCCATGCTGGCATCCTTCCCCTCCGAGAGATCAGCCAGGGGAACACATCCCCGACAGATACATTGGGCACCAGAGCCAGGCGCGGGCACAGCACCCTCACAGCAGGCTGGATGCGGGAAAGGGTCCTTCTGGGAAAGTCCCCCAGTGCCAGAGCTGGGGAGGGAGGGGGGGGGGCGGTTTGGGGAAGTCTTCCCAGACCACCAGCAGCACAGCCAGCACCCTGGGGGGGTTGCCATGCCCTCGGCCGGGCTCCCAGCCCTTTGCTGTCCTGCTCCTCCCAGCGTGGGGAGGCTGCGAAGGAGCTAATTAAAGGAGCAGCCCATTACCCGAGACCCCCCTCCGACACTGCTGTGCTGGGTAATGAAACGCTTTAAATCCACCATGCTTCTCCCAGGCCTGGGGCAGGAGGGACGTGGCATCTCCAGGCGCTCTTTAATAAGCCGACAGCAGCTCGTTACCACAAAATTGACTGCCCAGCGCTCTGGGTGCTCCCTCGGCACCACCAGCTGCCAACCGGCCCGGGGAGGGATGAGCAGGGGCACCCAGGGGTCTGGGGCAGGGGACAGCCAGGAGGGACATGGGGAAAGTGTTTAACCCCTGACATACTGGTGTCCAAGAAGATCGCCAAGCAAAGGTGGTCTGTGCACGCTGCTTCTCGCCCCGGGCTCTTGCCAGCCCTCGCACTGCCAGCCCCAGCTGGGGATCAGGCACCTGCAGCATCAGGACAGGCCCCGTGGTACCCTGCCCTGCCCTGCCCGCTGCGTAGGCAGGTCAGGCAGAGTGTTTTGCTGGGCAGCCCTAGGCCTGCCCGTCTGCCCCATGACCAGCCCAAGCTCTTGGCCGGGCCGGGTGGTTTAAGCCACAGTGCCAACGCATGGGGGGCTGCCAGGAGGGAGCAGGCAGCAGCGGCGCAGCCTGGGCGGCAGAGCCGCCTGCCCACAGCCCAGGGGAAAATAGGCAGAGCCACGGTGGAGCCATTCTGACCCGAAGATGGGCCAGGAAGGTGGAGAGCACCCCATGCCAGGGTGCACCCAGGGGGTCCACCTGAGCAAGCAGCCCCTGCAAATGCCCCTTCGTGCCCAACAGCTGCTGGACCCCGAGCCTGTCCTCCCCCCTCGCACATCATGCAACACAAAGTCTCCAGGGGTGCAGCCCCCTCGAGAAAGCAACCAACCCCCACGCCGGGTTACAGGGCTCCACTGGTAGCACCCTGGGCAGTGCTGGCATGGGGACACGGCCAGGCACCACTCCTACCCCAGGGGACAAGGGACACCAGGAAGGGCGTGGGGGGCAAAGGGCTGAACAACCCACATTGCTCCCACATGCTCCCTGGTGGAAGCTGTGCCAGGAGAAGGTGTTGGCCCTCCCATGGCCCTGGGGACCCCAAGGGTGACAGCTGACACAGGGAAAGGCCACTCCTGCTTTCCCGGGAAGATGCCCTCGAGGGTCGCCTCTGCCAGGACTGATGCGAGCAGGCAACGCTGTCGTCACAGCCTGTCCTTGCCCAGGGGCCAAAAGCCAGTGCCAGGATAGGCGGGACGGGAAGCCTGTGCCACCTTGTACACCCGCACAGACACACCCGCGCGTTGCCACTGTCCCCTGTGCAAGCCCTGTCATGCCCAGAGAGGACACGAGTCACTCTTCCATCCCGCGTAAGCCATGGGTGGATCAAACCCCAGCACTCGCCTGTGACAAGGGTGGCTGCTGGCCCTGCCACCCCCGGCCAGGGTCCTTCCCACGCCAGGAGGGCTTTTCTTGATGGCTTTGGCTCATGTGCCAGCGCCAGGAGACACAAGCATCCCCCCCTTCCCCACTCCTCTCTGGCCATGGCTCTGTCCCCTCACCCTCTCACCTCCCCGGGCTGCCCTTCAGGGACACCCGGCTGGGGGGGGGGTCCCCAAGCGCCCCACACCTTGGTGACACACACAGCTGCCTGGGAATCCCTTCGCTCCTCATTCCAGCCCTCCCAGCCACCGGGCCAGAGCCCTGACAAACCTTCTCAACATGTCCCCAGAGCCCATCAGTGTGCGCCCTCCACTGTCCCCCACGGGTCCAAGACTTGGGGAGGCCCTTCTCCCCCAGTGTGTGCCCAGGGCCATGCAGGTCTTGTCCCGGGTGGAGGTTTGAGCGGCCTCCACGCAACCGCCGCTTCCTGTCACCTCCACAGCCCCCGACATCCTCCCTGGTGAATCTCCGCACTGAGGGGGCACCAGCTGCCCCCTGCCCACCCGTCACGAGTGGGGCACGGCAGGGAGGATGCCCAGCCTCTGCGCAACACCAGCTCCCACGGCCCGGCCACGAGTGCCGCAGACAGCCGGAGTCTGGCCTCCCTGCCCCAAAAGAGCCCCGTTTGCAACCAAGAAGGAACCCCCCAAGGCAGGCCGGGTCCGGCCACCTCCGACAGAGCCAGGGCACGCGGTGCCAGGACCGCAGGCTGGTATTAAAGCCCCTGAAGCCTCCTTACACACTAATCACACTGGAGGTGACAGGGCTTAGGGGAGGGCTTAAGAGAAACCGTCTCCTTTTTACTGACACCATCTGGACACAGGCGATCTGATCTCTTTCCCCTTCTCAGCGCGGAGCCGGGCGAGCGACACCCGGAGGGGCAGGGGCCGGTGTGACCCCCCCCACCCCGGGACCTGGCACCTGTCGAGACCTCGCCCGGTGCCAGGGTGGCCGGTGCGATGCGTCCCCAGCTCGCACCAAGCGTGAGGGGCATTACTGCCCGCGCCAGGGATTTCTAACGAGCCCCTGGTGTCAGGCGGGAGCAGAGCTGGGGAAAGCCAGCGTGGAGCCGCGGGGGCCGTGTGCTGCCGGCGTGGCCCCCTCGGGAGGGGGACGCGGCCCTGGGGAAGGCGGGGGCTGAGACAGGGGAGACGCACTGGGCGACAGCCAGCCCGGAGACACCTGTTTGGGGACAGCCCTGCCTCCGGCTGTCCTCCCGGGCACACCGCTGGCACTCAGGGCCCACAGGCAGGGACAGGCAGGACTGTCGTTCACCGTACCCCGACACTCGCATGCCAGCGGGAGAGCCGGCCGTGGCCACCCTGCCCACTGCGGCCACGCTGCCCGCCGCCATCCCCTCTCCGTGCCGTCCCGCGGGGACGATGGCGGCACGGCGCCCTGGCTCTGCCGTGCCACCCAGCCCCAGGCCAGCGGGTGAACCGGGGACAAGCTCAGCCCGGCTCCAACGAGCGACACCACGAGGCACCGACTCTCCCCAAAACATGACCGAGCCCTTATCCCCCCAACCGTAAGGAAAGCGGGGATCCCCCAACCCCCCCCTCCCAGGCAGGGACAAGCTCTGGCTGCCCCGGGGGAAGCACCTCTGGGGAGCCTTCGGGAGCAGGGGGGAAAGTTGCGCTGGGGTTTGGGTCGGGGGGGGGGTCAGGTACCTTCCAGCCGGCGGAGCTGTTGCTGTCTCCTTTATCCTTAAAGTAGGGGACGTATCGCACCATCCAGTCGTAGATCTGGGAGAGGGTGAGGCGCTTCTCGGGCGAGCTCTCGATGGCTTTGGTGATGAGGTCGGCGTAGGAGAGGTTGCCCCAGGCGTTCCTCCGGGAGGTCTTGGCCTTGCGGAGCTGCCCGACGTCCGCGCCGGGGGGCGGCAGGG